CACATTCGTGAAAGGAACTCCCTCTAGCGAAACGAATGAAATTTTAACCCAAAGAGCTCTACTTTTACGAGTTTACCCTTAGAAGATCATGAAAAATAAAATCTAACTTTTTTGGCCTTTCCTGTTTTCTTCGATACCCCCTTTCAGCCCCTTAGGGGTAGTTGGCAGGCTTTGCCGTAGGCGTTTTGTTTTGTGGGAGTGAACCTTGAGATCCCCCGAAAATTTGGAGTCCCTAGCACATCTCCTTCTTGTGGAACAGACAGACACACAGACAGACACGCGGTCGTTTGCATAAGCCCGCTGGATATCTTTTTCAAAGCAGAAGGGCGGGCTAAAAACTGAAACGTAAATTCATCAAAAGGTAAGGCCGTATCATCTGCTTTCACGTTAGGGCGATCTTAGGTTTTTTGAAGATCAGCACACTCTGCTTTTAGTTTGTTGTTTTCCGTGGCCACTTTACTCCTGTTGATATTCTTTTTCTTTCTGCCTATAGCATACGACGCGTCCTACGAACAAAGTTCGATCTCCCGGCGCGCCGTTCAACACTGTCCGATCTCCAGGCAAACCATTTCACAAAGTTCGACCTCCTGGCGCGCCGTTCAACGCTGTCCGATCTCCTTTTCAGCTTTTATCTGCACCGTAGGCTTCAAGCCGTGATATCTTCGTTGATAGTTCACTTAAAATGAAACTAATAAATTCTATGTGATCTTTAAAGATTACGCAACACATTGGACCAATAATAAAATGGTATGATCTTGACGAACAGACGTACGAGGCGTTTAAACTTCCACCTCACTGCAAACCTCGAAAAGGAGATCGGACAGCGTTGAACGGCGCGCCAGGAGATCGAACTTTGTTGAACGGCGCGCCCGGAGATCGGACAGTGTTGAACGGCGCGCCGGGAGATCGAACTTTGTTCGTAGGACGCGTTGCATAGCTTTTGTCACAGATTTGGCAGGCGTTTCAAGTGAAGCTAATCGACACTGCTGAGCAGTCTTCTGTTTAGCCCGATATCTTGCTGTGCTTTCTCTTTGCCTCCTTCTTACCTTTTCTTTTTCTTTAGTACTCATCTCACTCTTACTCACTATTTACCTTTCCTGTTTTCTTTTCTTCCATCTTTCCCATTCCTTTGCTCTAGCAGTTTCAAGCAATTTTGGGTCTTTACGCAGTCTTTCCCTCCGCCTCCTTTGGCGCTCACGGTCTCTTTCCCTTTTATTGGAATCCATACATGCATGGGAATCTGCAAAATAACTGACATGTAAATATGCTATACCCACCCACATGAGAGAGAAGTTGCAGAGAAAGTGAGGTTATAAGTGCCTCTATAGTTTTGCTTCAAATAGGTTTTAAAATTGTACTTTCGGTCCGGGGAGGAGATGAGACTATTTCTTTGGTTAACAGAAAGAGATCTTTTCATGTTCTAATCATGACATGCATCCGAAGTGCTTTTTACAACAAGCAGTTCCGCCCTTCCGCCAAGCGAAGTTGCCATGTTCGCTTCGCTACGCCGGCAGCTCCGTTCGGCAGGGGCCGGGCCTGCTTGGGCTGCCGGTGGCGATGGTCAGGCCTGCGGCCCGACTATTTCTGTCACACGATTTGCTGAAGAACATGATCGAATGATGTGGCGGGCCTTCGGCCCGCTTAAACCCGTCGTCTTTGAGTTTGCCCCGAAGACTCGAGAAAGGGATGTAACGGTTAAGCAACGCGACTACAACCCACCCCTCTGCTTAGAAAACGTTTTTTGGAGTGGGGGGATAGTTTACTTTCTATTTTGCGGTTTTTAGGCCTTTTTCTACAACTTATTGTTTGCTATGGCAATTTTTAGCTTATTTACGTCAAAAGAGACCCTCTAGCGCCTAAACGGTTAGAGATCCCGACGCAAAATTTCCTGTACGCAACTAGATTGCTTTCAGTTCGTCGTGACAAACCTAAAACGTACTAGTTGCGACCTTCTCAGCGAGTTCGCGAGTGGTTCGCCCAAGTTTACAAAAGGTGCGCGGATGTGTCATTTCGCGCGCTTTGACGAACACAGAGCGAACATAGTTCGTTTTCC